AGAGAGGAAGAAAGAAAGAAAGAAAGAAAGAAAGAAAGAAAGAAAGAAAGAAAGAAAGAAAGAAAGAAAGAAAGGCAAGGAAGAAAGGCAAGGAAGAAAGGCAAGGAAGAAAGGGAGGGATGGAGGAAAGAAAAGAAAAGGAAAAGAAGGAAGAAAGGAAGAAGGAAAGAGAGAGAGAAAGGAAGAAAAGGAAAGGAAAGGAAAGGGGAGGAAAGGAAAGGAGAAGGTCCTTTCCACACCATGGGCCACCAGACCCAGGCACATGTCTAGCTTCCTCTCAGCCCAGGCGAGGACCCTGCTGGTGGCCATCCCCCTGCAGCACTGTCACAGGCTCATTCTCCTTCCTGGGAAGTGTCCAGTACAGTGCCAACACATACTATGAAGGAGACATAACACATAGTGGTAATTTTTTTTAAAGACAATTTGCCACCTTTTAAAATCCAGCATGGCTCAGGGCAGAAAATACCAAAATCTGGGTACCAGGACATGACAAGAGCGGGTCTTCATCTGCCTAGTAACAGGGAGGGGCCATTCCCACAGGCAGCCCCCACCCTTTCTGAGGTACTGGGGATTGAATCCAGGTACTATTAATTGAGCTACATCCCCAACTGCTCTTTTTAAAATTCTTTATTTTCGGCCAGGGATTTAGCTCAGTGGTTTCACGCCGCCTGCTGCACAAGCACAAGGCCCGGAGTTGGAGCCCTGGTACCAAAAAAAAAAAAAAATTCTTTATTTTAAGACAGTCTCACTAAGTCAGAAGTTGCCCAGGCTGAGCTCAAATTTGGGATCCTCCTGCCCTGGACTCCCTTAGTGCTGGGATTACAGGGATTTACAGGCATGTGTCACAATGCCTGGATCAGGCAAGGCCCTTGGACATACAATTCCCTGTGGCCTCTGCACTGAGACTCACAGATCACAGGCTGCGATTTGCCATCCAAGACAGCAGGGGGAAAGGCCAGATGAATCAGCAGATGGGTCTCTGTGGCCACTCACCCATTTCTCCAGGCCTCAGCTTCCCCATCTTTAGCAGGCAGAAAGGACACCCTGCCTCCCTCTGGTTTGGTGTTGGAGCCCACAGAGGGCTGGGACCTCTGTGTGGTGGAAAATGTGAGGTTTGGCTGGCAAGTCTAGTTCTGCCTCAGTGGCGCCAAGGAAAACAGGAGGTGACCCAAGACTCTCGGTTTGCTACCATTACCTCTGACAAAGCAGGAAACCTCACCCCTTCCCCAGGAAGCTTCTGCTCACACATCAAACAACCCCTGAATACACGAGTCTGCCGGGAGCAGAAGGCGCTAGGGCTTGGAACAAGCGGGACCCCCCTGGACCCCAGCACCCACCTCTGGCCCTCGTAGTGTGAACGCTGTTACCAGGACAAGGAGCAAGCCCCAGGGCCTGTCCCAGCCTGGCCCTCGGTGGAGGAGACCTGGGGTGACTCCGGCAACCTCCCCAGACAAGTGGGACTCGTCCTGAACCCTCCTGCTGCCCTCACTGGCCCTGCTAGAGGTTGCAGCCTCAGCATTAGTAGCTGCAGTCCAGTCGATTCAGCTTCTGCTGGTTCGGGAGGGGGGCCGGGACGCGTGTGTGCGCCTGTGTGGAGGTTGTGCGTGGGAACTCTGTGTGCCTTCCATGCAATTTTGCTGTGATTTTCAAACTACTTTGAAAAATATTCTGCTGAATTAGAAACAAAAAGAGAAACAAAAGCAAAAGCAGAGCCCGCTGTGGTCCCGAGGGTGGGGCGGGAAGGGAAGGCAGATTAGGGTGGTCCCTGGTACCCAAGGCACAGACTACGATGGGGAGAAGGCAGGGAAGTGCTCGCGTGGCCGCAGCGGCCTTGGGGACCCACCTTGCGGGGCGTCGGGTGCCAGCCTGCTCACGGACCGCTGCAGCGCGGCCAGGCGGCTCCTCGCGCCTCGCAGGGCCTCTGTGAAGCGTGCCTCCTGCCCCTTCAGCAGCTGCTGCAGCTGGCGGATGGCGGTGAGGAGCTGCTGTTTGCTCAGACAGTTCTGGGGAGAGAAGAGACCCGGTGGGCCGGTCAGCGCCACGCGCTCGCGCGGGCTTCAGAAGCCCCCACACCACGGGTCCAAGCCATGGGAAGGCGGCCCCCAAAGATCCTCTCTGTCCAGTGCTCCAGGGGTGGCCATGTGTGCCCAGGGAGGCCATGGGTGACAGCCCCGCGCCACATGTCACAGCCTTACCTCTCTCCAAACCAAACAAGTGCAGGGTGCTGGCTCTGAAGGGCAGGGTGGCTGAGCAATTATTTGAACCCTAAGTGCCTCATAATCACTAGCTGGCTCCTCCAAAAGACACTAATTTTTCACTTTAAGTGAAGTCCCTGAAATCTTGGCCTCAGTGAACTTTTTCTTTCTCCCTTCAACTCTTTTGCGCCTTCACCCTGAGAGCTACATCCCCAGCTCCCTAGTCTCCCAAACCCCTTTTAAAATTTTAAAATTTTGAGATAGGGCCTCACTAAGTTTCTACACTGTTCAGTCTGGGCTCAAAATTGCGCTCCCCCTGCTTCGGCGTCCCAGAGTGCTGGGATTACAAGTGTGCACCACCAGGCCTGGTTTATGGATTTTTTTTTTGATACCAGGGATAGAACTCAGGACCTTACTCTTTCCAGGCAGGTCCAGTGCCACTGAGCTAAATCCCTGGCTCTATGGATCATTTTTAATAAGAATGATTTATTTATATTATTAAGGTAGAGCGTTAATTGTACAATGCTATGCATAATCTCTCATCCTTAAAAAATTAAACATAAATGAATAAAAATAACAAAGCAGAATATGCACATAAATGACTGAAAATAAGATATTTTATAATGTTCTCAATTATATCTGTGTACTTTATGTTATTCCCTATTGTATCTTCATAAACTTATGGCTTTCCTCCTTCCTAACATAACTGCTGATTTCTTATAGTTAACATTTCTGTCATTTAATGTTAGTTTCAGATTCCTCATTCACCTCAGCTAGTTGACTTAAATATCCAACTAAATATAGCACTGTTAATTAGAGACTACTCCCTTGTCCCCAAAAATGTTCTATGAAATTTTTACAGGATATAATGCGAATGTTTCAGCTACAAAGTGAATTTTAAAAATGTCAACCCTGATTCCATTTACTGTGTTAATATTATACTTCATTAGGCATAATTTTTTCTCAAATGCTCTTGTGGAATATAATCATTTATACTAAATATGAGATAAGCGAACAGGCTTAAAATATATGCCAACACTGACTTCTTTCATTTTTATATTTAATTATAAATTAGATATTTAAAATTGGGTTATTCCCTTACATGTTATCGTATATGCCAGGAAAGAAACACATCATTATTCTTCAGGGTACCAAAAAATAAATTTTTTTCTAAAAACTAGAAAGGTTTGTTTTGTATTCATAAAATAAAATTTAGATTTAATTGAATAAAAGGAAAACTTTTAATAGATAGATCTATAGATGAATTTTAATAGATGACTTTCACAGCTGATCGATAGAGCTATGTATAAAAATATTATAGGAATGTAGCCATAATTGTCAGAATTAAGATTAAAATTTGTTATATAGCAAGCATACCAAAAAGGTATGTAACATGATTCAGATATTCCCACTGAATATAACAAAATAAAAATACCTATGAATAAAAGGCACCCTAAAATATCTTCAGGAAGCCAAAGGGTCCAAAGATTTTTAGACTTAAGTTGTTCCTCAATTTGGTTTTCAAGACAGATTTAGTTGTCCACCATTCCACCACCCCTAGGGCAGAGGAGGTGAGCCGTGTAGGCCCCAGCAGCACCCCCCTCTCCATGGAAATGAAAAGACACATAAACAAGCCTCAAAAACAGACTTCCAGATCACCTACAGCAACCCCAAAGGGAAACGAGATGGAACAATCTGATACTCAACCACCTGGACTCTCTGAACTGGCAACAAAAGAGGAT